ACCTAGGCTTTATATATAGCCTTACCAACAACGACCAAGATATACTCAAATACCCTAAGCATAGGATATTCAATATGAAATCAAAAGCAAAACGTTCAAAAGAAAGCAATACAAGCCCAAAAGGTAAAGAGTTTGGAGCCCAGTCACACAACACGAGATAATAGAAAACGCACACAAAGTCCAAAGTTTTTAGAAACATGGTTCTTAGTATTCCTCTCCTTCATCATCCTCATCGTCACCACCTTCAGCACCGACCTCTTCATAATCCTTCTCCAACGCAGCAAGATCCTCACGAGCCTCTGAGAATTCTCCTTCTTCCATACCCTCACCCACATACCAGTGGACGAAAGCACGTTTCGCGTACATAAGATCAAACTTGTGATCAATACGGGAGAACACCTCAGCAACACTCGTGGAGTTGGAGATCATACAAACAGCTCTCTGCACTTTTGCAAGATCACCTCCTGGAACCACTGTTGGTGGCTGGTAGTTGATACCACACTTGAATCCAGTAGGACACCAATCCACAAACTGGATCGTGCGCTTGGTCTTGATGGTGCCAACTGCTGCGTTCACGTCCTTGGGGACAACATCACCACGGTACATCAAACAGCAAGCCATGTACTTTCCATGACGTGGGTCACACTTGGCCATCATGGAAGCTGGCTCAAAAGCACTGTTTGTGATCTCAGCAACTGAGAGTTGCTCGTGGAAGGCTTTCTCTGCAGAAATGACTGGTGCGTAGGAGGAAAGCATGAAATGGATTCTTGGGTATGGGACCAAGTTAGTTTGGAATTCAGTGACATCAACATTCAAGGCACCATCGAACCTCAGAGAAGCAGTCAAGGAAGAGATAACCTAAATCCAAAAAAAGAGAGTGAACATTAGACACAAAACAGCAGCAAGGTAAGCGTTTAAAGGGTTAATTGTTGCTGGCTGGTTCTATACCTGAGAGACAAGACGGTTGAGGTTGGTGTAGGTTGGTCTCTCAATGCTCAAGGAGCGTCTGCAGATGTCATAGATAGCTTCATTGTCGAGGAGGATTGAGACATCAGTGTGTTCCAAGAGGGAGTGAGTGGAGAGGACACTGTTGTAAGGCTCAACAACAGAGGTAGAGACCTGAGGAGATGGGTAAACTGTGAATCCCAACTTGGACTTTTTGCCATAGTCAACAGAAAGTCTCTCAAGGAGGAGAGATCCAAGACCAGATCCAGTCCCTCCACCAACAGCGTTGAAGACAAGGAATCCTTGGAGACCAGTACAGTTATCAGCGAGCTTTCTGATACGGTCCAAGCACAGATCAACAATCTCTTTCCCAACTGAGATAAGTCAAAAATCAAACCAGTTAATACACAATAGAATCAACAATATATGGTTGTTGGAAGGATATTTGTACAGGGATGAGTATCTTACTGGTGTAATGCCCACGGGCGAAGTTGTTAGCTGCGTCTTCTTTACCGCTGATGAGTTGCTCAGGGTGGAAAAGCTGACGGTAAGTACCAGTTCTGACCTCATCGATCACAGTTGGCTCAAGATCAACAAAGACCGCACGTGGGACGTGCTTCCCAGCACCGGTTTCACTGAAGAAGGTGTTGAAAGCATCGTCACCTCCGCCAACAGTCTTGTCACTCGGCATCTGACCATCAGGCTGTAACATCCAAATACAGAACACCACATCAACACAATGGATATACAAAACGAAGTGGATCCAAAGATCTGATAGAAATAACGATAAAAACAGAAAATCAAAACGAATCTGAGAACAAAAGAATCGGATCTCGTATCAACCAAATCAATTAACAGGTCGTCGCAATCAAACACAGATCTAAACCGGTAACATTTGTACGCAAACCTACAAGAGTTTTCATTTTTCATCGAATATTTTTCGAAACAAGAAACGGATCTCACATCAACGATACCAAATTTTCCAAGAGATCTAAACCAAAAACAGATCTGAGCAGTTGGTACTATAGATCTGCCATTTAATTCAGAAACCCTAAGAACTAAGGGAAATGCAGGACCAAATATCTCAGATCTGATCAACAGACAACGAGAAAAATAGCGAAAACCACAGATCTAGTTGGAATAAAGGATGAAGAAGAAGAAGAGACGAACCTGAATGCCATGTTCGAGGCAGTAAAGCTCCCAGCAAGCATTTCCGACCTGGATACCGGCCTGACCAATGTGGATCGAGATGCACTCTCTCATTTTCGTTTCGGGGAAGAAAAGATCTAGAACCTAGGTTTACAGGGAAGAAGAAGAAGAAGAAGAAGGGCGTTTATGAAGACGCTCTTCTTTAGATGAATTAAAAAAACTGGATCTGATTTTTCCGCTTTCTAGGTTTTACCAAGTTGGTCGATGCTGTGTATTTATAAGCGAAAGTATCCATCTGTATGTAACGGCACGTATACGACACGTGTAATGATGTAATTGGGTTGTTTTCTACCCACGACCTGTTGATATCTTCGTGAGCTGCGTGTTTTCTAATTTTGAATTTTGCTCGTTGGGCAATCGCTTTACGACCGTTTCTTTTTTATTTTTGAAAAAAACAATATCCCTTGAATTGCGGGAACTTAACCGGACATTCCATTGGACTTTAACCGGGTCATAATGATTACTATAGTAAACCGAAACGATAAGAACTGAACCAAAAATCCTTCGGCTGGGGAACCAAAAATCTCCGAAGCTTTGATTGAATAATGAGATCCCTAGCGGCTGCACGGCCACTGTTTTCCGATTTGCCGAGTATTGTTCGTTTATGGCTTCCACCTTCCAGCTTCAGGACGTTTGCTTCTGTATCTTCGCCTCCTTCGTCGGATTCGGACCTCCGGAATCAATCTCGTGGTGGCCTTCCTCGATTCTTCTCAGATGATCTTCCATCTTGCAAGGCATACACACTCACTCTCTCTCATTTACTTGTTGTTTCATTTGAATCTGTGTGAGAACTCAATAAAGATCATAGAGTAATCACTGAGTACTTGAGAATTTTCTGCTAATTCACTGTAATTTTATAAGATGATGCTTTGTAGTGGAGGTGATTTTGGTACCACCGTATTGGTTATGTTATGTTCTTGCCACTTATTTTTGCGTGAAGCGGTTATATTAAGCTTCTCCGTTGTGTAAATCATTATGATTATTATAGGGTGGGAGTGTTCGTGTTCAAGGCTCTGAGTTTTGGCATATGGCTAAAGTTCTAAGACTGAAACCCGAAGATAGGTAATATTAACACACATTCATGTATTTTATTAGCATTTCGGAGTGTTGCATTCATGAAAGCCCTTAAAAAAGTTGAGTTTGTTCATATTTTGTTTGCTTGCATCCATGTAGATAGAAGTTTTCTTCCATCTAAATTGTGTGTGTATGTATATGGATAGTAAACCAAAGAGCCGTCCTTTTATCAAGATCTTGTTAACCTTTTTATGCATCATCTTTGCCATGATGAATTCAGTGGTTATTGTTATGATATCTCCAAAGTATTTTGAAGATAAGATTAGGATAACATATTCTTTGCTTTTAAGATCACTTACCAATTACCATTAGAATTTAGTAAATGTAAAGTAATTACGTGCACCCTTTTTCTATGCAAGGGTAGAACTCTTTAATGGCAAAGGAGGTCTGGTAGAAGGTTGTATACAAAGCATAGACAAAAATGGAGTTGATTTTATCGCACAAGAAGATCAGAAGGTGATTCTTCCTCAGGGCATGCAGTGGCAGGTGTTTGCCGCTTTTGGTATGAAATGGGACTGCTCGTAATTTTACGATGTTGCCAGACTATTTAATTCTTGGCATAGCTCGGTTCATGATATTATTAAATATATGTGTTTTAGGCACTCTGAAGGGTGGTCGAGCAGACTGGTTAATTGAGAAATGTACAGTAAGTATTTACTTCTAGTATGTCGGGTCTTAGTCACCGATGAATATCATGCCACTGAATATGTGTATATTCTTATATCAGGAACTTGGAGCGAGTGGTGTCACCCCACTTTTAACAGAAAGATCTTCCATAATCTCTGAAAACCGGGTTGACAGATTGGAGCGCGTTAGTTTTGCTGCGGCTAAGCAATGTAAGTAACAATAGTATAAGGTAACATACTGATGTGTGATTTATTAATCTTGCTCGTCTTTTTCTTGGTATGATCACAAACTATTTGCCTTATCATTTACTAACACAGGCCAAAGGCTACATCAAATGATACTGAACCCTCCAATCAAATTTGATACCCTCTTGGATCATGTATGTTTCAACATCTCTTTAAGCACACTCTAAGATTCCTGGTTTCTAAACTTGCCATAATACACCTTTTGATAATTTCTAGATTTCCAAGTCGAAGTTATGTTTGGTTGCTACAGCCGAAGCTACACCTCTCCTTAATGCAGTAAAGTCGTCAACAAAAGAAACCAGTGGAGTATTAATCGTTGGACCAGAAGGCGGTAAGAAACCCTTTCTCCAATACATTTTAGATATGGTTGTCTGTAGTAAAGTTTCTGCGGAAGCTATCATTTTCTTTTGAAATCACTGGTTAGTGCTTGAGTTTACACACGATGAACAGTATCTAGTGTTCTTGTTTTATGACTTGTCTCAACTACACAAGAGTAGACTGGTACAATCTAATGTCAAGAATGAAATGAGTGCAGACTTCACGAAGAAAGAGGTTGAGATGATGTTGGAAGCAGGGGGCACAGCGGTTGGACTAGGACCGCACCGGTTGCGAGTTGAGACCGCAACCATCGCTCTTCTTGCAACTCTAGTAATGTGGTCTGACTCTCAAGAGACAGTCTAAAAGCTTATAAGGCTTTAGTTTTTTGTTGCCTTGTCTTGTGTTCTGACTTCTGAGTGTTTTGCGCTATGTGAGGTTTCTAGATTTGATTGATAAAAACAAAAAGGATCTTGAATATTATATAGCCAAGAAAAGCTTCGATTTACGACCTCTGATATATTTTTGTTTCCTTACACTATGATTATTAAGCCCTGCCGAAAAAAATTATATGCTATCCATGAATTGGAAAATAGATTGCTACTGCAAATTAAAATTTCAGAGTACTAAGTAATCAGAGAAGAGCAGAGCTGACATGACTCTGATAGATAGATAGCAAATATGGCCTCATCATAAACAAAGTTACATAATAAACACCAAAGAGAAAGCTTCAGTAATAAGCAAATTGAAAAGTTAGGAATCCCCTAAAAAGGAAAATCAGTTTGGTGGTTGGGGGTACAGAGTCCATCCAACGAGGGAGCACAAACTGGAATAACATAAAGACTCCATTGCGAAACTCTTCCAAGTACTCCACAGTATCGGAAGCATTAACGCGACAACAACAATCAACTTCACTACTACTCGAATCATCTGATTCTTGATGAACAATAAACTCTTGTGTCTGCAAGTTACCTGATGCCAAACAACGGTCTTGACGTAACCACAGGTAGACGATATCAGCATCAAACGGATTCATTGCCAAGGGGAAACAGTTGACATCAGATACAAAAGAGGGCATGTTGATTTCCCGAATGAGTTGCCACCTTTCGCTGATATATTCTTCGTCATTCAGCAGCCTCCATACACTCAATCTTCGATGTATAGCTTCAACGAAGATAACATCTTCTCCTGAAGTAGTCAAGCCCCTCCGAGCTTTTTTGTGATCCACGCCAGGGAGAGGAATAATCTGACATTGATCATCAGCATCAGGGCCATAAAAGTCATGAGCAATAAGGACACCAGGTCCATTAGAATACATAAACCTATCCCACATATAAAGAATCCCGTGGAGAGAATCAAAACCAAAGTTACCAACGGCTCGTGGGGAGTAAAGTTTCTTGATATTCCATAAACCAGTCTCAGAGGAATACACACAAACTCTCCATAGATACAATCCGTCAACGTAACGATCAACCATACCCATTTCGATCGTCCTAACCATTTTGAAGCTGGAAACGACGCCGTTGTCAAGACGAGTCACCATACCAACGGCAGAGAATGGACTGGGATACCAAGGGTCTGGATTTCGAACCCATGGATCAGGAGCTGGAGGGATCTCAACCCATTGTTGTAAAACTGGATTACCAACGAAAGATTTGTAACTGTAAACATTGTTGTAATTACGGGAAAGAAAGACATCGATCCAGGTCAATCCATTGGAAGAAGCTACAAAGTAGTATTCAGAGGTAGGGAGAGTGGGATACGGTTGAAACGGAATGATATAAGAAACAAGTGATTTGGGAAGATCCCATGTATCGCATCCGTGGAAGCCGATGGGTTGTGTCATGGGATGGAGATACTTGGTTCTGAACATGAGCGACCATGAGGAAGAGGAGTGTCGGTGCAGGGAGACGAAGAGACGGTGGAAGTAATCGGATTCTATAACAGAGTTCCATCTTTTGCAGACAGATTTGAATCTGGCGATGCTTCTCAACGGTAGTCTGGCAAGTATCTCAACCTCTGGGATTGTTCTTCTTCCTCCTGTCTCCTCCATTCTTCTCGTCGTCTATAAGATTAAAGTCTCATTTGGTCACTCTCTCTTTCTTTCTTTCTTTCTTTCTTTCTTTTTAGAGATGGTTGGACGCAAATAACTAGCTGTTTTCATTATCAACTTTATTGGACTCATAAATCATTATTAATCAATTTTTTTTTTTTGTCAAACACTGTAGATTATATCTCCATCTGAATTCTGAAGTAGTCAGACATCTCTGAGCATGCTTAATGTTTAGACCAGGGAGAGGTATAACCTGACAGTGATTATCATCTTCAGGACCACAAAAGTAAGTAAGCTATGTGGATTGGTCGTAAAGATAGAGAAGAAGAGAACCTAGGCTTTATATATAGCCTTACCAACAACGACCAAGATATACTCAAATACCCTAAGCATAGGATATTCAATATGAAATCAAAAGCAAAACGTTCAAAAGAAAGCAATACAAGCCCAAAAGGTAAAGAGTTTGGAGCCCAGTCACACAACACGAGATAATAGAAAACGCACACAAAGTCCAAAGTTTTTAGAAACATGGTTCTTAGTATTCCTCTCCTTCATCATCCTCATCGTCACCACCTTCAGCACCGACCTCTTCATAATCCTTCTCCAACGCAGCAA